TCAGCCTCCTGAGTAAGCTGGTGCCCACCACCATGCCTGGCTAGTTTTTTGTATTTTTAGTAGAGATGGGGTTTCACCATGTTGGTCAGCCTGGTCTCAAACTCCTGATCTCAGGTGATCCACCCGCCTCGGCCTCCCAAAGGGCTGAGATTACAGGTCCTTTTCTTTTCTTTTTTTGAGACAGAGTCTCGCTCTGTTGCCCAGGCTGGCGGCCAGTGGTGAGATCTCAGCTCACTGTAACCTCTGCCTCCCGAGTTCAAGCGCTCCTGCCTCAGCCTCCTAAGTAGCTGGGATCAAAGGCACCCACTACCACACCCAGCTAATTTGTGTACTTTTAGTAGGGATGGGGTTTCAGAAGTATGTAGGCCAGGCTGGTCTTGAATTCCTGACCTCAAGGGATCTACCTGCCTCAGCCTTTCAAAGTGCTGGGATTATAGGCGTGAGCCACCGCACCTGGCCATGTGCATTACTTTTAACTACACTACACAGTGTATTCAGATTTCACTAGTTCTTCCCTAATGTCTCTTTTCTGTACAAAGATCCCATCTTACATTTAGTCTCCTTCATCTACTCTGGACGGTTTTTTAGACTTCCCTTGTTTTGGGACCATCCTGGCAGTTTTGAGGAGGGCTGGTCAGGTATTTTGTGCCTCAGTTCGGGTCTGTCTGATGCATTTCTCCTGTAGTTTTCTTATTTCTAGTTTTGTGAGTGCTATCTTTCCTGCGCAGCATGTTTCCCTATGTGGTTTGCTTCTATTTTATTTTCTATTTGAGAGTAAGTGTAACTGTACTTGAGTCCTCTTCCTTGCCCCAGGCATCTGCTGTGGCTGGTTAGTGGAAGACTTAGGGCTTTGTGTAGGTGAGGACTTTATGTTTGTTCCTGCTAGAGCCTAAAATATTTCTATTATCCTAGGCCAGTATTTATGTTCTTTATTTGAGGTTTCTGGTACAAGACACAGTGCAAAGGTTTGTACCGTACACCCTCGTGTGATGCAGGTCTAGGGTTTTCCTATCCTGCACATCGTTTACTATGCCTTATACCCTGTCTCTCTGTCCAAGATTCTGGAGAGAGGACAAGCTGCACAGGCAAGTTCCTGGACCAGTGGGTGGAGTTTTATAGCCCCTTTTACAGAAAGCAATACCTGTAAGTCCTGGCCTTTAGGCTTGGCTGTTTCAGTTTCATGATATCCAAGGGCAAGGCCACGGCTCCATCTGCTCCATGGGCATGAGGTCTAACCCTCAGTCCTTTGAACCTCTATAAGGATCTGAAACCACCTTCCATGGTGCCTTTGATTTTTCCCTTTATTTCTAGCATCTGGCATTTCTTTCTCCTTAGTTCTTGGCTGTGTAGTAAAAACCATGTTTACTTGTGTGTGTGTTTGCAGTGGGACATCCACGTCAGCTGAGCTCACCATGTTACTGGAAGTACTAGTGACAAATGTTCAGCTTTTTGGAAGATTTCTGTCATACGAATTGTGTTTTCTGCAGTGACTAGCATAATGTGGGACACATACCAGTACTCACTAAAGAACGGATGCATGAATGAATGAGCGGAGACCAGGACTGCTCAGAAGATAGCTAAGCATTTGCAGCCTCAGTGGAGGCTGAACTGGTTGAGTCTGGGAGATTCTGGGCAGGCAGGGGCTGGTACACAGTCCCTCTGCCTGGCACTCTGTGTCACAGTGGTCCTGGCCTCATGTGGCTTTATTCAATGCTGAGGACTACATGATTTTACCAATGGCTCATCCAACAGGGTGGTCTGTTCACTCTACTTTCATCGTCTTACAGTGTCAGTACCTTTTCTTTTCCTTCTTGAAAGAGGGAACTGGCCGGGCGCAGTGGCTCATGCCTGTAATTCCAGCACTTTGCTGAGGCAGGCAGATCACGAAGTTAGGAGATCGAGACCATCCTGGCTAACACAGTGAAACCCCACCTCTACTAAAAATGCAAAAAAATTAGCTGGGCGTGATGGCGGGCGCCTGTAGTCCTAGCTACTCGGGAGGCTGAGGCAGGAGAATGGCGTGAACCCAGGAGGCGGAGCTTGCAGTGAGCTGAGATTGCACCACCGCACTCCAGCCTGGGCGACAGAGCAAGACTCCGTCTCAAAAAAAAAAGACGGAACCGAGAGTGTGGGTGGATTTAGTGCAATCGATCAAGCCAAAGTCTCATCCTGGATTGCAGGTGGTAATCTAAGGCAAGATACTGCCTTGGTGTATGAACACCATAGCAGCCTGTTTCTGCAGGGCTGGCTTCTCTGGACTCTACACACAAGCACAGATGCTGGTTTGAAAGCCCCAGCATTATGAGACAACTGGAAGCTGCAGCCCTTGACGTCCTTGTATCAACAGGCACAACACTGGCCCCAACCTGTTATTGGTTGAGCAATTCTACAGCCTTGCAGGGAGGCAGGCTCTGCCTGTCCAGGCTATACTTCAGCACGCACCTTTCCCTCGTGGCTACTCAAGTGGAAAGTCCTTACTCTCCACTACACTCTAGTCCCTATCCTCCTATGAAATCCTATGTGTAGTGTGAACTAAAGGCAGAGAAAGCTAACAAGCCTTGGCCTGGGGGCTGTTCTACATCTTGCCACCCAAGAAGAAGAGGGCAGACATTTAGGAAGGAGGGAATCACAAACTCGATGTGTTTTTCAAAGTGGGGAGAATGGGCTGAAGGGTCTGCTTGAGGGAATGTTCTTCCCCCATTGCTTCTCTCCAGCCTGCATTGCAGGGCCCCCCGCCCTCATTACTCTGTGGACACAGTGGCGATGACAGCAGAGCTCCGTCATTACTGCCCCGCAGGCTGTGACGATAACGGGTCAGGAGTGGGGGCATATGGACCCTCCAGTGATGCTTGTATAGCAGAGGGTCTCGTGAGGCTGAAGACACTGAGGCCCGCTGCACTGACTCCACCCCAGTTAGAGGATCTGGTTGAGGGCTTTTATAACTCAGAGAGAATCTGTTTGGTCCAGGGAAGGGAGGAGCTGAGTTGGAAATATTTTTGCTCCACTTTCTTCCGAAATACTTACAAAGATTGGCAGAAAGTGCAGGTGATAGAACAGAGGAACATTGGAGTTGACATGATGATGTCGCGGGGGACGTGGTGCCACCAGACAGAGAGCCTGGCCTGTGAGTTCCATGCCTGGGGCACAGCTGTCACTTGCTGGGCACAGATCTTCTGCAGCCTGTGTGGTTTCCTGTGCTCCGGGAGGACCTGGCCTTTGAATGTTTATAAGGTCAGACCCTCTGGGCTCTTCGGCCCCGTGGATATTGCTTGACTCTGAAGTCTCTTGTGGTCTAGTGGAGTCAGGATCAAAACTGCTGTGCCAGGGGCAGAAGAGCTACATGCCCCCACCCCAGGCCCCGCGCTTAGAAGAGCAGTCTGCAGGATGTGACGAGTCATCATTAGCCCTTGTTTTGGGTGACATTTCTTCCATTCTAAAGGCTCTGCCCTCGTCTACCATCTCATGTGATTTTCACCATGGGCATTATTTTAATGAATGACTTGGGAGTCTGAGAGGCAGGAATATGAAGTTGAGAACACGAAACGTTTTGCCCTAGAACATTCTTGTCCATGCACATATTTGAGGCTTCATGGAGCAGGCACGCCTCTTAACATACAGCCTTAGAATTCAGTGACCGGCAATGACTACATGTAACACACAGGGGCTCCACTTCAGCTGGGGAAATAGATGCAAGGAAGTGGTCTGAACATAGTCCTCAGGGTGCATAAACAGGCCCCATGCAGGCTTGGTAACCGGGGAAGGATGGAAAAGGGGTTATGTGAGAAATTCGTTTTTGACAGTCACGATCAACGGGTGCAGGAGGGAGTGCTATTTCCTGGGGGGAGTCAGGGAGAATATTTTGGGACTGCATCAGTCTGAAGACAGTGAATGAGCTACAGGAGTGATAAACCAGTCGCCCCTGAGTCACTGCACTGAGTTATGTTTTAAAATAATTGTGAATTCAACTACCTTTAGATAGTGCGCATGCTGTTTAAAGTTTGCCTCAGTCCTCATGGTTGCCAACTGTCTTCAGCTGACTGTCTCCACCCATTTTGATGATCTTTTAGTCCCCTGAAGCCACTTGAGTTTGCTGCCTTCAGATAGAAGGTTCCATCCTGCAGAGTGTGGCATTTATGGCTTTGTGGGTCTGGGTGGACCATAGAGACCTCACCTGCACCACGTCTAGAGAACGGCATGTGATCCCAAGGCTGTGACCTTACCCACGCCCTGTTTATTTCCAGGCAGGTAGAAGAGCAAAGAATGTACAAGGCCCGGTGCTCGAGTATGGAAGGTGAGGGAAAATGTGACATTGAGAGTGACGGCAAGGTTGGCTCGGTCAGTTGGGTACAGCAGTGACAGGGAATCCTGGAGGAAGGGCAGGTTCTACATGACAACAGATGGAGAAATATAAGAACACGTATTCAGGACAAAAGACTCGGCTGGAGCTCGACTTGGGTATCACCAGCAAACACATGGAAAATAAAGTCACAAGAATGGAGAAGGTTGTCCAGGGATGGCGCGTTCAGTGAAAAGGAAGGATGTTCTAGATATAGGTCCCCGGGAACATCACCTCTTAAGAACAGGCCATAGGATGAGAAGCCCACCACCAAAGGGACTTTCCAGGAGCAGGTGGAAAGAGAGAGGGAAACCAGGAGAGCCCAGCGTCAAGAAAGACAAAGGGAGGGCTTCGAAAAGGAAAGGCCTGAAGAGTGTCAGTGGCTGCCTTTGTTTTTTGTCATCAGTCTTCACACCTTTGAAGTGCTTAGAGTACAGCTTGCGATTCTGTCCATGTTTTGTTTTCAAAATGATCATCACCCACTTAATAGCTCATTTGAAAGACTCCTTTCTCAGGGATGGCCTTCACCGGACCCCATGCGGCCTCCATCAGTGGGGCTGGGGTGCTGAATGATAATGCACAGACAGCCCACCCAGGTGACACGCATACCCGGAGCACCCCTGGGTGCAGAACCATGCTCTGGGGTACCAGGGTGCTGGCTTACCTGGCACTCTCAAAGGTAGCAGATGCCGTCTTTTCTATAGCCCCGAATCCAACTCCAACAGCGAGACCCTCTGAAATAGACGTAAGAAAAACAAGAGGGGTTAGGAATATTTCCCAATAAGGAACATCACCATCACTGTCACCGTGTCAAGTAGGACTGCATGAGGCTGCCAGTCACAGGAAATCATACTAACAGCAGCTTAAACCCAGGGAAACTAAGGCATGGGGTCCAAATGGCTGCTGCCTGCAACCTAGGAATGATTTTTGTATTTTTTAAGTAATTGAAAAAACAAAGACTACTTCATGACACATGAAAATTATATAAAATTTGGCCAGGCACGGTGGCTCATGCCTGTAATGCCACCACTCTGGGAGGCCGAGGCAGGCAGATCACCTGAGGTCAGGAGTTCGAGACCAGCCTGGTCAACATGGTGAAATCCCATCTCTACTAAAAATACGAAAGTTAGCAGGGCATGGTGGTGCACGCCTGTAATCTCAGCTACTCGAGAGGCTGAGGCAGGAGAATCACTTGAACACAGGAGGCAGAGGTTGCAGGAAGCCAAGAGTGTGCCACTGCCCTCCAGTCTGGGTAACAAAGTGAGACTCTGTCTCAAAAAAAAAAAAAAAAAGAAAAAGAAAAAAGAAAATTATATAAAATTCAAATTTGAGTGTCTGTAAATGAAGTTGTATTGGCACACAGCCATGCTTATTGGCTGACGAATTGTTTATGGCTGGTTTCATGTATATTAGCACAGTGGAGTAGTTGGGACAGAAACCGTATGGCCTGAAACCCAAAATATTTACTATCTGGACTTTTCATAACCCCTGGCCTAAACACACAGGGCTTTATTTATTAGCTCATGCAACAGAAAGTCCAAGGTTGATACGGCAGCCCGATGATGTCACTGTAGACACAAGCGTCTTTTGTTTTCGTTTTTTTTTTTCTTCATCCTCACCACTAGGTCCTCATAGTTGCAAAGTGACTGTGCTACTTCCAGGCATCTCAACTACATCCTAGGCAAGAAGAAAGTAGAAAGGTAGAAACCTTTCTTTATCAAGTCTTTGGCTCATTACTCTGGAATGAACGCCTTTCCCGGCATCCCTCATACCTCTTTGGCCAGAACAGGAGCAAATGCCCATCCCTGGTTCCATCACAGCCTCAGGCCCCAAATCCTGAGACTCCGGGACTGATTGAGGCCAGTCTCCATCCCTCTCTGGGGCCGGGAAAGAGCCTACCCTGCCCATGCTCCCTGAAATCAAGGGAGCCGCCATCCGAATAAACTGGGGTCTTGTCAGCAGGAAAGGAGGAGGGGTGGCACGATCACCACCACCAGCATGCATTTTTATTTTTATTTATTTTTATTTTTTATTGAGACAGAGTCTTGCTCTGTCGCCCAGGCTGGAGTGCGGTGGTGCCATCTCGGCTCACTGCAAGCTCCGCCTCCCGAGTTCATGTCATTCTCCTGCCTCAGCCTCCTGAGTAGCTGGGACTGCAGGTGCCCACCACCACGCCCAGCTAATGTTTTATATTTTTAGTAGAGACGGGCTTTCACCGTGTTAGCCAGGATGGTCTCGATCTCCCGACCTTGTGTTCCGCTTGCCTCAGCCTCCCAAAGTGCTGGGATTACAGGCATGAGCCACCGTGCCCACCCAAGCATACATTTTTATACGACTGCTCTTTGAAGAACATTCCAGCTTTCAAAGGAACCACCCTCAAACGGTGCAGACAGATGCGGTCTACACTGAGGGGGTGGCTAGAGTCGAGCTTGCAGCATTGGGCTAGACGAGATGGGTTTTCAGGTCCTTTCCTGTGGTTCACGGGCTTGCCAAGTTCACCAGCCACTCGCCTAGGGATCAGATGTGGGAGGATGACGCTGGTCTGCGTGTATCTGATGGAGTAGTGAGGGTCATGGAAGGAAATGGACCTGACCCAGTGGCCGTGGACCAAAGGGGTGGAAGCACAGCGTCAGGGCGCTTCTGACATCTGTGAAGAGGGCAATGATTCCCGTCGATCCAAACACGAAGGAGAACTACTGAATTACCACCACTGTTCAGCAGCAAGGCCAAGGGCTTTGCGGGGGTCAAATTAGAACTTTTTTTTTAAGAAGAGGGAAGATATAAAAATCTACTGAGTGAGAGGAACTGATTTTCTTTTGATTCACTGCCTCTTAGTACAGCCCGTTTCTTCCTTGTGTCCTGTCTGTTTAAAGTGGGTCCAGGATGCCGGAATTGTGATACTGACTCCAGGAGACACCTGGGGACAAGAAGCCAGTGGAGACTTATCGCATGTTGCTCACCTGTGATGCAGTCTGGCTCAACAAGAGACCGCAATGGGGTCTGGAGCCCAAAGATCCTGCTAAGGAATAAGGTGTTCTTTTTTTTTTTTTTTTTTTTTGCCTCATTTTACCCTTTGTGCTTGATCTCCTGCGGGGTCCTGATGGGATAGCTGTGACCACTGTAAGCTGCAGGTTGAGAATTTGGGATTCTTTTTTCTTTTTTCTTGAGACAGAGTCTCACTCTGTCGCCCAGGCTGGAGTGCAGTGGTGCGATCTCAGCTCACTGCAACCTCCACCTCCTGGGTTCAAGTCATTCTCCTGCCTCAGCCTCCCAAGTAGCTGGATTACAGGCATGTGCCCCCATGCCCAGCTAATTTTTGTACTTTTAGTAGAGATGGGGTTTCACCATGTTGGCCTCCCAACGTGCTGGGATTAAAGGCATGAGCCACTGCACCTGGTGAGAATTTGGGATTCTGATTCCCTACCAGGTATCCTTCCACTTTTCTTATAACAACCAACGTCAGGACACAGAGTCCTAGGACACTGGAGCTTGCCCCACACTGCAAGCTCAACTCCAGAGATCAGCCGCTGTGACTCTTGGGCCCCCGCCAGGTTCAGAAGCCGGTAGTTAGAGGGAGGTCCTTCCAAAACCAGACAGCAGCATCAAGCCTTCTGGGCCTGGCCTCTCAGCATGCATGTGTACACCCAAGCAGGCCACGGAGAAGGCTCCCCAACTCTCCCTTTCACAGCTCTGAGGCTGAAGGTGGTTGGCTGGAGTCAGCACTACCAGGGCAACCAGACTTTAAAATCGATATCCATTTTTAAAAATTATTTTTTAGTTACAATTGACAACCTTGAACAATGCAGGGATTAGGGGCACCAATCCCCTGCACAGTCGAAAACCCACATGTAACTTTTGACTCCCCCAGAAACGTTCCTAACAGTCTAATACCGACCAAAAGCCTTACCAAGAACATAAAGTCAATTGACACATATTTTGTGTGCTATATATATTATATATGGTATTCTTACAAGAAAGTAAGCTAGATAACACTTCTTATATTCTTACAGTAAAGCAAGCTACATAGAAGTTCTTAATGTTAAGAAAATCATAAGGAAGAGAAAATACATTTACAGTGCTGTACTGTATTTATCAAGACCATATGTTTACACTGTCTGTTCATAAAGAGGCGCTGTCTGTCTGAAACGGCAGGCACCCACAGCTGCAGACCTCAAACTATGGTACATATGAAGCAAGTTAATTTTTTCTTGTAATGTCATGACTTTTCTTTGCTTCTTGGGAGCACCTCCAGTATCTCTAATGGCACTCGGTATGGGTCCTGTGGTGTTATTCAAGGTTTACGGTATTGCACTAAACATGATGAAAAATACGTCAGAACTGAGAGAGATCACTTTTTACGGTAACATGCAATTCACTGCAGAGGTGAACTGCTCACGAGGAGATGCTTAGTGTCACAAGGCCTTTTTTATTTTTTTTTGAACTTGAGACGGAGTTTCACTCTTGTTGCCCAGGCTGGAGTGCAATGGTGCGATCTCGGCTCACCACAACCTCTGCCTCCCGTGTTCAAGTGATTCTCCTGCCTCAGCCTCCCGAGTAGCTGGGATTATAGGTATGTGTCACCATGCCCAGCTAATTTTACATTTTTAGTAGAGACAGGGTTTCTCCATGTTGGTCAGGCTGGTCTCGAACTCCTGACCTCAGGTGATCCACCCGCCTCGGCCTCCCAAAGTGTTGGGATTACAGGCGTGAGCCACCAAGCCGAGCCCGACAAGGCCTTTTACGCAGACACCTGCAGCACCTGAGCCCACTGCAACAGCAACAGGAGGTGGCTACAAAATGGTTGCAGTAGTACAGTGGGCTGTAGTTAATTCTATGTAGTTATGACTTAATATTACATCATTTTTTAAATGTTTTAATTTTTTAAAAAGTTTTTCATAGAGATGGTCTCACTAAGTTGTCCAGGCTGATCTTGAACTCCTAGCCTCAAGGGATCCTCCTGCCTCAGCCTCTCAAAGTGCTGAGATTAGAGGCTTAACACTGCATCTTTATGTTTGCTTATATTTCTCTTCATTGCGAGTGGCACCATATATGACCTGTGTTGAAGGGTATAATTTTTGATAAATTTTAACTTTTTATAATAGATTTATGTATTTTTACAGTAATCAATGATAGACTAGACTAGTATCGACACATACATTTCACTGTAGGTATAAGGCGTATAGTCCAGTGTCTAGCATAGAAAGGGCCACCAGTGCCCCATTTCCCAAGGCAAAGAATCACAGAGAGATTAGGATCTTGAAGACAAGGCCTAATTTGCAGCCTTCAGGCCTAATGTGGAACACTATCATTTGCATTAAAATGGCTAATTCAAACATAGCTTGGGACTGTCACCTCCAGTCCACAGATCAGAGAGAGAAGGTGATGGGAGCTGGTCTGAGAGACACAGGTAGGTTCTGAGTCCGAGGCCCAGGGTGTAGGTCCTTCATCACTCCATGAGTAGATACGATGAAAGCCACTACTCAAGTATCAGAAAGGGCTGTGGATCCATGTTCAATATTTTAAGGTTCGCCTGATGGATGTGACACCATCCAAAAGAGGTAGGCAAGAAGGAGTACCCAGCCGGGCGCGGTGGCTCCCGTGCCTGTAATCCCAGCATTTTAGGAGGCTGAGGTGGGCGAATTGCTTGAGATCAGGAGCTCAAGACCAGCCTGGCCAACGTGGTGAAACCTCATCTCTACTAAAAATACAAAACAATACCTGGGCGTGCTGGCTC